TCTATTTCGTGCGGCCGGCCTGGCGTAGTCTTAATTAGGTTTTAGTATAGGTTTTTATATGGGGTATTTTAGAGCAGGCCTTTATTTATTTAATTTGATTTTAGAATAGATATTTATTGTGATTTTTATTATCGCCTGTTCACCGCCCTGAGTCCCGTAAGGGAGATAGGGCGGTATACAAATCTAAATAAACATAAACCTAGACCTGGACCAACTTCCCAGAGTTGCAGCTGTTTGTATAGCACACCCAGGGGTAGCTGATGCTTCAGGGCTGGGAATGGGATGATGCCCATTTTGTTGTTGCTTTGGTGGCAGCCAATGCCATGGAAAGACTGGGTGTCTGCAAGGGAGAAAGTTATAGAAATTAAAATGGCTTAAACTTGTAGGATTAATGTTCCTCTAAAAGGCTCAGATATGCTGTTTCCAGAAATAGGACAGGAACTTTTCTGCCTCGAGATAATCTGGTTATTTTAAACCGGGATAGTTTGCACGGGGAAAAAAAAGTTGCAGTTTGTGGGACTCAGTACTAGGACTGAATCCAATGAAATAAAAGAAGAGTGTGATGGGGATAAAAATGCAGGAAGCAGGGGTGCAAGTTGCTGATAATCAAATGTTCCAGTGAGGGGTCCTTGGTGCTTTCTGAACTTGGTTTTTTTTTTCTTGCTTGCTTGGTTGTTTCCTGCAACACAGATGTTGTTTACCTAGCACAGTTACCTAGTTTGGGTAATGAAACATCTGCAAGAAAACAACCAAGCTCAGAGAGAACCACGGACCCCACCACGTTTCAACTCTCAGCTACAAGTATTCTCCTTTTAATGTTTCACTGTTCCTTTTTCTCTCTCTCTCTCTTTAAGAGTCTTTAAAAGATGGTTAAGAGAGGGGAAGCAAATTACTGGATGTTCTCAGCCCGGAGTCTCAAAAGAGAAAACAGAGAAGAGCTCTCAGGCAGTTGAGGGCTGCTGTAGCAAAAGAAAAAGAAAAAGAAAAAGAAAAAAAACAACAGGCCATGGGGGAACTTTTCTTGACTGATCCTGAGCAAGAGGTTCAGGAACCTGCAGAATGCAGAGCAGATTGGCAGCCAAGTTCCTCCCGCTGGAACTATAATTGGCCCCACCGATTTCTATCTGGGCTCACTTTGGAATCCAGCAAGGCAGAAATCGGTCTTAAAGTCTGGACAATGGAGTGTGTGTGTGTGTGTTGGGGGGGGGAGATGGGAGAAGGCACAAGGATTGAAGGCCAGCTGGCTGCTTGGCAGGCAACAGGCTCTCTCGCAAGCTTTGCTTCATCTCCAGGCAATGCCCGTTAATGAATTAATCGGTGTGCGGTGACCGCAATTGGAAAGTGACAGGGATCTGATCCCCCTCTGCCCCGTGTTTCCCCAGGGATTTTTATCTGGAACTTGTGCTGCCTTAGCAGAGATCATCTCGTTCTCCTCCACGCTTTTATTATTGCCGGGATCAAAACTACTGAGCTGTTAATCATGCGGACACAGCGCGCTGAAGACCTCAAACTCGCCTCAGTTTTGCCTTCCATTCACAAGGCAACCTAGGAAGGCAGGTGAAAAGCTGTAGTCGCCCTTAAATGTGATGTGTAAGTTTATTCTGGTATTGACTCCCCCCCCCAGAATGTTTATATATGGTTCTATCCGAAAGTGAATGCGTGGTGGATATTAAGATTAATCTTGAATTTTAACTGGTTGCTTTGGAATTTTATGTCTGATTTCCCCCCCCCCCCCACACACACAAAACCAAGGCAATGAAAACAACATAGAACAGTGGCACTCAGCCTTCTCTTCACCACAGATCCCCCCCTTTAAATACTTTTTGTGGTTACAAACCATGGCTACCGATGCCCAATACATAACTCAAGATTTAAATCATAACATTTCTTCAAGCCTTCGCAGACTCTCTGGGACCACATCACGGCCCTCTCCAGGGCTCCTCAGATCACAGGTTGAGAACCACTGACATAGAACATAGAATGATAGGGTCAAAAGGGACCTCAGAAGTTTTCTAGTCTGACCCCCCTGCTCAAGCAAGAGACCCTAAACAACTATGTAAAGATGTTATTATATCTAACAACTGAAGGGGAAACTTGGATCTTTGTCTCCTACAATAACATTTGGAAGAAATGCACAATAATAGTGCTAAATGATATGTTGTTACTCACATAGTAGACTTTCCAACACTACTTTTCCCTTTGGGGGGGCAGGTGAGGGCGGGGTTAAACGCTAACAGAGTTGTCAGCCTGCCTATTAACCTTAAGAACAAAAAATTAAAATGGGAACGCAAAGCTCTCTTTTAAGCAGTTGAAGTCCTCATTAAATTCTGCTCAATGCTTCCTTCTGTGCTGCACCAGCAGAGTCTCCTAGCTCATCCTTCCGTCTTCTGATTTGAAACAGCCAGTTCATAGTTCAAGCAATCCTAAATTATAACAATAAATCTAATCTAATCCCTGGTCTACACAGCTATACAGATTATAATTTAAA